TTAGAACTTTGCTATCTTTAAATAACTCTTGCTTGAAAAAGTGTCCTTAACTAACCTTGAGCAGCAATGTATTTGTGATTTCCTGAGTAATCCTGATTGAAAAATATTTTATCAAAATTTGTCACCACAATTTTCAAGCACTTAAGTGGGCAATAAAGTGAATAAAACATTGTTCAAAAAGGTTAGGATTGTCCCTCATCAACTTGTGAATAATATTACACGCGCCTATAAATAGATACAGTCATGAAATACCTTAGCTGGCTGAGGTATTCTTGCCCATTTCAAAATAATATTGAAATAACTCTGTTGATATTTCTTTAGTACCGCTGTTAGGTGGCAACTAAGCTTTGAGAGGTTTATATACTTATTAAACCTCTTAAAGCTTTTTGAAGGTATGACTATGGAAGAAATGAAACGATTGATTGAAATGAAAAGTTAGGGAAGGCAATAGATTTCGATTTAGTACTCAATTGTCAAGATAGAAATTTGTATTGAAATAATATGCATTGTATTGAATTGTATTGCGAGGTTTGTATTGGAGTAAATGGCTAAATGGCCAAATAAATATTTAGATGAAGGGAAAAAACCTAACAAGGAGCTAGCATTTAGAGTGGAACTTGCTAAATGCAGAATGTTTTCAATTGACAGCTCGTGCGACGGTGGAGCTTTGAAATTTCTAAGGAATTTTTTTAACTCTACCATTATCGTGAGTTTGAGTTACTGTAATTCCTAAAGCAATTTCTAGTTTATGTATTACTCCTTTTACTAGGCTTTAAAGATGTTTAGCTTTATAATCAATAAAGGATAAATATCATAAAAGCTGACAAAATCATAATCAAGACAGACAGAATCAAATATTCGAAAATAATTTTTTCGCTGGCCTTCAATATATCTACAAAGAGTTAGCACTAGCTCAAGCAAAAAGAATTCTGGTGATAGTGGAGATCACTTACAGAAATATGGCTTGCATTAAAATAGTCGGAATTTTGATCTTCAGGTAGAGTATTCAGGTGTACTCTTGAATGGTCATCTACAAATAAAGAAAAGCTCATCACGTGCATGGTTAACTCAAGAAATATATTCCAATTTAATACTGCGTAGGTGAGTTAATTAAATTTAAGAACATATAGGCTTCAGTCGTGAAAGAAAGGCTGTTGTTTGGTGATAATGATCTACTACTAGTAACTTCTACCAAGAAGTCTTGTATTCTGATAATCTACTCAGCTATATGCTTTGCCTTACTCAAAACAAGATCGAGTAATACCAGAACTGTGCAAAAGAGCGCAAAACATGAAGCAGGAAACAATAAGTCTATAGCTGGCTTGATTGTCACAAGGAAATAAATTAAATGATTAGTAGGAGAAAGTAGTTTTAAGTTTAAAGATAAGATTAGTTATTTATAAATAGGGTTGTCAGCTTAGTAGAAAGCTCATACATGGGAATATATCGGCATGCACATTCTTCTGTTGATTGGCTGGATCTGTAGCAATATCCCAAGGAAACTGCTGTTTCTTGTCAAGATTCTGTAAATAAATTCAAAGCATAATGAAACTGTGATTAAAAACAACATAGATAATTTTTTTGACTTTGCAAAATTTGAGAATGGCTTTAATAAAAGCAAAATTTTTACAGCTGATTTGAAGCTTTTTCTTTGACTATATCGAAAGCTTTTTGTTCCTCAGAGACTAAAACGTCAGAGAAAGGCTCCAAAGAGCAAGGTGGTAAATATATACCTAGTTGTGCATCGAAATTGACCAATCGGTAAAACGCGAGCATAGGTAATAAAGTATAAACATTAACGTCATCTTTGCAGAATTTTACTCTTTCAATGCATTAAATTTGAATGCTAATTATTGTTTAATTAAAACCAGGACCTTGAAAAGAAATTTAAACGCTGGGTTTATTGATCACCTCATACTCCATGATAATCCCTTGATAGTTACGCTTTTGTGACTCTGTTGCACGTCGAACAAAGTCCTGAACAGAAACTTGAGGATATTCTTGATCGATTACAACTTTACGAGGAAATTTTCTCAATTTTACAGCTTCATCTATAAAAGCAAAAATGTTACACTTGTAAAAATTCAACAATATTAAACAAAAGTCGATATTTCAATATTATGAATATAAAAGAGGTATACCTGTAACGGATTTTTTATGAGAGTTGCGCTTACGTTCTAACCTTTCTGAATACAAGTTAAGCTACTTAAAACAGACGCTTAAGCCGAAACCTTTCCGGGAAAAGTGAACCTCTAGCGACTTTCAATACAACCAAGATCTATCTTATACAGTTCTGGCTGCGCAAGGAGAAAATAAAGATCTGTTTCATTTGCTCTGCAGTTTTTGCTAAGATATTCATATTAAGATCTTAAGGCTAATTCTCATTTCACTTTTGCCTTTTTAAAACTGTATGCAATTTGAAAATTGCTTTGAAAAATTTTTAGTAAACTAAAGCTTTTCGTCTGACACTCTTTAGGTAAACGTCCGAGTTTAAAACGTCAGAACATAGACCGCTCATATTTCTAAGTCTGTTGCTAGACACAGCCCAACCATTGAGCGCGCTTTTCTACAAGATGAAATTCAGAAAACTAAAACTAATATTCTGAATCTAAAACGTTTGTATACACGCCAATGGTCTAAAACGCGTCCGTTTCTCACATTTTTTGACAATTTTCGTCTTTGCCGCTACATTTCTGAAATTGACCAGTGGACACTTAAACAGACTACAGAAAAACATGATAGGAATATTGGTATGCTAGTTAAGAAACGTTTTGGCGGCTTGATGAGCGATTCAAAAAAACATATTTTTAATTTGTCGGATTATTCTCTCTCTGAAACCGAAACATTTGTCTTAGGTAACGGTCTTGAGTTTTGTATCCCACCATAACGAATAAACAGAGAGGAACTTTTTGCTGAATTCGAGATTTTACACGCGCAACTTGCCAGGCACGATATTTCTGATGCTTTGGAATTTAACAAATTACGAGCTCGATTAAGCGATTTGGCATACGCTTACAGCGGTTCTCCCGTTGACCACTCAGATTTTCTTTTGCATAGAGAACATTTTCGATTACAAGTTTACGATAGGATAAGACCCACAGGTCCACAACGTCCAGAAATGTTTGGCCTCCCTAAAATACATAAGCTAAATGTTCCATCTTGTTTATGATTGGCTCAACACAACATTAATTGGCTAAGTGGCTTTCTGAAGCTTTGGACCTTGTTCTTCAAAAATATTCCAACCGTTGTATCAAGGAATCTTTTACGTTCGCTGAGTTCATGGAAAACTTGAACATCAAAAACGAAATATCTTCCATGTGTTCTTTTGACATTAGCAGTCTTTCCACAAATGTTCCTTTGAGTGAGACCATCAAAATATGCGCCGACCCTTTGTACCGGAGCGAGCTTAATAGCCCACCATTCCAAGAGGAAATATTCATAGAACTGATGGAAACTGCAACACGTTCAGTTGAATTCAGCTTTAACAATGAAATGTACCAACAAAAGGATGATGTCGCTATGGGTAGCCCTCTGGGACCTGGGCTGGGCTGGCCAATGTCTTTGTTGGCTTTTATGAAGAACGTTTGTTCGACTACGACCAAAAGCCAGGTGTCTATTTTCGATATGTGGATGACACATTTACCTTTTTTCAAAACAGAGGCTGAGTGTGATATTTTTATCAAACGCCTTAATGGCTTCACCTAGCCCTACAGTTTACATTTGAAAAGGAAGAAAATAACTCCTTGCCGTTTCTAGATGTTTTGGTTGAAAAGTCTGGCACTGGATTTCTTACCTGTGTTGTTGGGAACACGTTACCTGTGGAGACGAGATTGCGGCTCCATTGTTTAGAACACAAGCGGAAGTGGTTTATCCGAACTGATTAGCTACGAGGAGTAGGTACGCACGCGCATTAAACCTACTAAAACAATGCTGGATCTTCGTTGTTTATTTTTTCAAACTTCCCTCCTTTGCCTGTCTGACGTAAAATGCAAAGTACACATGCGCACCTACACCTTGCGGACTTACCCTAACTTATCTCCCCAACAATTTGTATATCGTAAACCTGCCTTTTTGGGGATATAATACACTCAATGAAATTCGTTTTGCCCAAAACAAAGGAAAAAAATCCTTATCAAAACGCTAACTCATTGGGCACTGATGATTTATTCCAAGTCTAAACTCGACTCGGAACTTGAACAACTAAATAAGATTTTTTTGAGAACGGCTTATGATGTCATTTCAGTTTACATTAAGGCGAAAAAGGCTAATTTCTCGGCTGACGTAAAATTTGGTCCCCAAAAGTTCCAGGTATATCTGAAACTACCTTGGATCGACAACAGTTCCTTGCGTTTTAAAAAAACAGATAAAACAGCCCATAACAAATTGTTTCTTTACCGTGAATTCACGCATTGTTTATGGTAAAAAAGGCCCTTTCCTCCATTCAAAAGGAGTGTGTACTTGCGTCACAAAAGAGTTCCGCTGTATATCAATTTACGTGCCAATGTGATTCTGGCTACGTAGGACGCACTACCCAAAGATTGGAGGATAGAATAAAACAGCATGTTCCGTCTAGTAATAGAAACAGAACCCACCCCCAAAGGGAACAGCAATCTCAGTCATACATATCTAAAAGTACAACTAAAACCTGCGATTCTGCTTTCGGGCAGCATTTACTGGAAAACCGAAATGGTGCAAAAAACTATAATGGCGAAATTTTTCGTATTATTGGTAAAGCCCGATCGTCATTCCATCTAGCAATTTTAGAATCTATCTACATTAGCACGAAAACCGCTATTTTGTAGACAAAAGGAGTTCGTTTTTACCTTAGAACTCCATTGGTAACATTCTCTTCAGGCAAGTGGCACTGATTGGGCAGCCTCAACAGTCATGTGCTGGCATTTCTGATTGGCCTATTATCCACAACTGGCTATATATATTTCCTAGCGTAGAGTTTTCGATCTATGTTCTGACATTTTAAACTCTGAAAAGTGTCAGATGAAAGCTTTAGTTTACTAAATGTTTGCTTTTTTCAAAGCCATTTTCAAGTTTTGTACCACCAAAAGATTGTTTCTATACAATTTGTTAAGATTTGGGTGGTTATAAATTACCATCTCTGTAAAATATAGTTTAAAAAAAGTGCAATATAATGATTGAAAAGTCAAATGGTCAAAGAAAAAGCACAACAGCTGCAAAGCAACCGGCATAATTCCAGGATTTTTTGAAAGATGAAAGCTTCAATTAGCTTTATCTCTAAGGCACTTTTTAAAAAGATCACGATTTTTATGTTATGGCACATTTCGGTTTACTTTCCTGTTCAACTCAGTTTAGTTTCGGTTTAGTTTGATTTAAACAAAATATAACTTAAATTGTTGAACCTATTTTTTCAAATCTAAGCTATTTGATTTTAACAACTTAACGTTCTCAGCGAAAAGGATAGCATTATAACATGGCAGGTCCACAAAATGAAGATTTTAAAATGGCCGGCACCGAATATTCTTGTTCAGGGCAGAAAGTACTTGAAAAAATAATTTGATATTACCTGAACTTCCTCTACTAACTATGCTGGGCTCATCCATAGCAGCAGAGGCTCTTACGTTGTTCAAACTCTCACACTCATGATCATACGATGGATTCTCGATCTGGCCATGTAAATTTGAAAGAGGCACACCGTCCTTTGCCAAACCACCTTCTTGAATTGTTGGCCTTTTGGATCGTCGCTTTCTGTTGTAGAAATTACAGTGTTTTCATTACATTGTTTTATCGGTTTGTATGCAAATAAGAGATTAAATTTGATGAACCTCAGGCTTGTTGATTGTCAAAAGCAGGAACTTGAAAGATTTGATTTGCTAATTTTTAACATACCATTAAAATGTGCCGAACAATTAATAATAATAATAATCGATGTAGATATAATCAATCAAAATAAAACAAATAAATTGACAATTTTTTCTGATGTTCTTTGTATTAATTACAAGAAGTTCCAATTTTGTTGTCCCAAAAATTAAGAAATGTTTGTGTCGAACGTAACCTTATCTGGCCTGTGATAAGAATTATTATAAGGGGTTTCGTTATGAATAACTAGAGGTTCTATTTTGAAAGATATATTTTATGAAAGATGGATTCGGATCATTAAATATTTCAATATTTTCAAAGAAAGCAAACTAATTCTGGCAACATGCATGGTACGTCGTTGTGACATCAGGAGGAGATCGTTCTACAAACTGACATTACCACTTTTAAGAAATATAAGGGAACGTTTTTGTATCTTGTCCATCCTATACGCGCATATTTCTGATTAGTCAAAAAGGCATCCGTTTTAAACAAATTTCTTAAATAATTTGCTTTTGTCTCAGCAAATTGTTCTAGGCAGGCTCATACATTGCTCCAGAAATTATTTCTTATGTAAAAGAAAGTAGATGTTGTCAGAAACAGAGGAATCCATAGGAAAAGAATGCTGAAACACGAATGCTGACTATATTTCAAAAGTTAAAAAATTTACTTGCTTTATTTGCTTTTAACATAGAATATATCTGACAGGTTACATTTTGAGTTTTGATAAAGAAAGAAGCATACCTTATGTAACAAACTGCAACAGCTAAGGCGAGCACAACGATTGCTGGAACTATTATCCCGACAATAATTTCGATCGATCTGGTTTCGCCTGGTTCTGATTTCAATGGTTCTTCTACAAAGAAACTCCAGTCATAATTGGAAAACTCATTCCACACTTTAATAAACAAACAGACATAATGTTAATATAACAATATTTTCGGCCGTTGTCATCGGAGATAGCAGTTAAGGCAAAGTTATCATAGCACGGAACATTGAAGAGAAGGCACGAACATCAAACTGGGTTAAAAGCCGTGCTTACACTGTGAAGCTCTCACGAGTAAAATGGCTAAACAATGTATGGCTCTACAGTAAGAAACTTGAAAGATGTTACTAGCATAAAATGATATGATAACTTACTTGTTTTGAATGGTCCAGCCCACGGCGAAGAGAAATAAATACCCTGCAAAATGAAACAATTTTTTGAACTGAAGTAACTAACAGCACATGGAAGGGGGCATAAATTCCAGCAAATGAATTATCTGATAGCAGTTGTAAAGACAAATTGCATCATGACTTTAAAGTAAAGTATCTCTTATCTGGATCTAACGAAGAAGATTGTTTTCTGGTTTGTGCCGTGCTCGTTGCTGTATGATATAGTTTTACACACTTTTATCTTGCTTTTAAATAGACCAGGACCAAGACGATCTCAAGTTGTACTTTATAGTTTTTATTGTCCAGCAACCATATGCTACTTTATAAAATTATCTAACTATCATCAAAATTATTACAATTACAATTGAAGAAATAGGCTCTCTGAAGCAGATTACCGCTGAAAGATAAGCTCTCTGGAAGACAACATATTCTGTGTTTGGCTTCAATAGTGCATTGATATACTTTACTTGATCGGCATTCCTCCTCCTTCGACCAGATGACTCATATTCTTTCCCATTGCCAATCTCAAATTTCGCAACGTAATTGTACAAGACACCTGTTATGTAAGGTGTGCTGCTAATATGCGTAGAAGAGTCATATGGTCCAAGTTCACTTGGCTTCCAGTCAAGGGGATCTTTGACTTTTGATGAGTTTCCTGTTTCCAGTACAATAATGTGGTACTCTCTTGGATAAAAATGACACTGATGAAATCGAATTCAAAACGTCGATGATACGTCATGTAGAATTGTAATATGATTAGATTTTTGTAAAATATTTTATCTTAAGCGTTGAATTTCTGACCTTTCCTGTAAACACATGATTTTGATATAAATCATATTAAGATGGAAGTTACATGAAAAGTCAAAATTGCAAAAAAAATGATGTACCATAGTGTTATCAGGGAGCAGAATATGTTTTTCGTCTTTTAAATTCAATAAAGAGAAAATGAGCCAGATATATGCTTGAAAGCGCAAACAGAATACTTTTTTAATAGATAAGATAAGAGTTTCGTGAAAACATGGTAAAAACAGACTAAGTTCCTTACTTGGTATTTTCTGGTCCTCTTTTCAAGGGAATAACGAATGAAATGTCTTTCGCTTCGCTTTTGAAGATATTTACGTTCAGTTTTTCTAAATGTTTTCTCTCTGTTAAATCAAATTGATAAAACTTTCAGGAACGTGAATAACTCAAGACAAGAAAATAAACACGGTATCTAGCTAAATTTCAAAAAGTACCAAATATTAAATTGGGGCCTGTAAACTGCAAAAGGGGAATACGTGAAGATATAAAAGATGTAAAATGAAGAACAAAACAAATTTTATTAATCAGATCAACAAATATATTTCAAGACAAACGCCCTGGTTTGATGTACAGGGATGTTGTAATTTACATTTCTCAGCTTTACGCTCAATGCAATAACTAGACAGTTTTTTAAAAAATATATCAATTTAGATTTGGCCTTTAATAATAATGCATCGGCATAATATTTAAATGTACAAAGTTTCAATGTGGCAAACTTACCTATAATCGTGCTTGTAAATTGACTGTAATACGCTATATCCTGGGGAAATATAAACAAGTGTAACTTCAATAAATGTGCATCTTTCATATTCGAGCAAGTTCAATACTATCGGATTCATGCTTTCAAGCAAGATCAAAAGTGATCCGATATGATTTCATTCCACAGTGACCCCATTTGAAGACCTATCCAATATGTGTGAGTAGGGCCTTAGATTATGTGGAAGGGTGTTACATGAGAAAAGCCGTTGCTAGCTCTTTTACTCAAGGTGCAAAAGCCCAATTTGCCGACAAAGAGTCATCCTTTATTTTCTGACAGGTTTTAAAATTTGACGACAAAGCACCTCTACATGGACAATTCTCCTATATTATATATTAATTGGATTCAATTCATTATGAATATCTATTTCCATATATTCACTTCTTTTCGTCATGTGGCTTAGTTCCTGACGTTTATTCTTAAAATTACCCCCTTGCTTTTGAAGCCAGTTTCACATTCTATCTGAATTCAATTGATAAGTTATACTTCTCTCATTTTCTATCTGAATTCCTTTAAGCAAACCCTCGATCATTACTTTCTTGCCATTCAAGAAAACGCTCAACAAAATAAATATTGAAATGCAAGTTACAAGCATAACATTAAACTATTTTTGCATTGCTACACTAGACCAGAGAGCTTGCTTTGGTTATTACGTAGCTAAAAACCGTTAAAATTCCTTCATACATTAATTGAAAGACCCTTCTATGGGAAGAATCTATTGCAATTCAAATAAGACAGACACATGATCCAAGTCTTTACTTCTTTGCTATAGCGGTTCTAAATGAACATACAGTAACAGGAATCTGATTAATATCGTATTCACCTTGTTGGTTGTTGCAGCACGATAGCAGATGGTGTAATTTGCCAATGTTTTAAGCTCCGTCAAAATATGTGCAACTGATTTCATTCCAGGTATAAACTCAAGCTTTAATGGCAGTTTAGAAGGAACAATTGTCTCTGCAGAACTGCTTTGTTGACAAGTAATTGCATTTCCTTCCAGAAAAGACAGCCGGTATTCGCTGTTCATAGAAAAGAAAAAGAATACAAAGAAACTAATAATGTACCAAGACATTCAACAGTATTCAAGATAAAGAATATAATTTTTTGACAAAATCTGTTTCTTGCTCAAAATTTGACCAAATAGATATTTATAGCAAAGGAAAAAAAACAAAAAACTATGAATGTGCAAAGACGTTCAGCATATCCAAAATGAACGATATCTTTCTGTTTATTAACAAATTGCACAGAAATTCACCAAGTAGATATCTGGCATAAAAATTTTATGGACAGCGGAAAAAAAGCCGTTAGAAGAAAAGAGAAATGTAATGAAAATGAATAAAACCTTATTCGTCCATTAATATCGCTTGCAGTACCAATTCTCACTGTGACTTTTCTTCTGATTGAACCCTGATTTTCCATTGTTGGTTTTGGTGGGGCTAAAAGAAATGGCCATTTTAACGAGGCTAAAATTGCATAAAAAATTCACAGAAACATTAAATTGTGCTTTTATCTTTGAAAATGGTTTTATGAAAACTTGATTTTGAAAATAAGAACGGGTTAAAAAACAATAAAAAACAAAGCGTGATAATAACTGAGAGGCTATTTTAGCACATTTCTCTACGAACATAACCAAAGTTATATGAAAAAAGTTATATGAAATGAGAAAAAATAATGATCTTATTGATAAACACTAAAATTGATATAAGAATCGAACGGGAAAAAAAATTAACCTGACTATAGACATAGACATAAACATTCAAAAAAATACAAAAAACTATAAAATAAAATTATGAATTATTCGGGTCTGTTTGCAATAAACCTGTAAGAATTATAGCTTTCTAATAATTTTTAGCCAAGGAAGGGCAGAGGAATTGTGCTCCCGAGGAGGGTTTCCGGTTAATACTCATAAGCAAAACACCATTGCTCAATAATACTAGTTTAATAGAAACGTCATTGAAATTTACCATAGACAACAAACCTAGCTAAAACAAATCAATCTTTACTCGAAATTCATTTGTGCACATAAAGCCTTAGTTTATGCATCGGATCCTGCAACATTCTTTATTGCTAATTAAAAAAATAAATACCTGCGTAGTTTGTTTCAAAGGTAACCCTTCCACTAAAGATACCCCTTCCACCTCCTGTTACTGCAGCAACATCGATTGTGTAATTTGTAGCTGGGACGAGGTTGCTCAGCGTTTTAGAAGTAAATTCTGAATGGAATCTCCGAACAACTGTTATAAAACCGTTGTGTTCAAAGGTGCTGTTGTAAGATTTTCTGCCAAAATACCTCACCTGAAAATGTATGTGAATCAAGGGAGCTCAAAAAATTGGATCACATTATTAAAGTCTTCAAGGATACATCTACTACCAAAGCTGTTATACATCAAATATTCTACAAAAAATGGTGTCACCGGACTATTTGAAAAGCAAAAAACTTTCTATTGATGGGCAAATACTGGCAATTGGCTTTATTCAGTACATTAGATGCATCGATTATACTTACAGTATAATTTCTAACGATTCCATTTTCTCGTAATGGCTTAGTGATGTTGACAAGAACGGAAGAAGATGTTTTACTAGAAAGCTTCACATTCTGCGGCTGGCTTGGTTCTGTTGACAATAGAACATCAGTAATAAGTAAGTTTTAATAGTGACCTTACTGAAAATAGGACCGAGTTATGTCAATAGGATGGGCTTCATTGACGGGACAAGATTGTTTTTTTATTGGACTTGACGGGGGGTAAATTCAACTAAGCAACCAAAGAGACTAATGAACAACGTGCAAATCAATTTACGTGTATCAAGCAGAGACAAGGCAAAAAATGAATGAACTAAGCGGGTGTGCTGTACAGCAACTCCCTCGTCCCTAGTGAAAAGGTCAGTAAGGAACATTAACATACCTGTTCTCTTTTAAGAAGGAAGAAAATAACATCATGAGAAAGAAAAAAACTACAGTGGAAACATACAAAGTGCTTTTCTATCGATGCCACTTTTGGCAATTACATTAATACTTTTACAGGATATGTACTTTGAGACAAATCAAGTCACATGTTGTATTGGCATTTTGTGAAATCAAAGAACTTCGGGGTTCACAATGTAATATTGTCATGAAAGGTTATGATCATAAATCGATACTCAAATAAAACGCTCAAAACCTTGATAACAACTAAGTTTTTACATCATTACAAAGCGATTTTATACATGACTGGTATAATTTCTATTCTTTATATAAGTTCAAAGATGTATTACGTACTTCCCTCATGTGTTTTTACTGTCACAACAAGGCTCCATCTCCCAAAGTTTATCCCACCATTTACTGTCGCTGCCACCTACAATGATAAATATTCAACGCTGAAAAGAATTTGTATAGAACACATAAGAATAAAACTTGTCAACCGTTTCAATTTCATGCCTGAAAGTATTTTCACTTGTAAATATTATGCAGGTAAAAAAAAGATGATTACCGTTTTGCTGAAGTATAACGATTACAGCTCAAATTAATATGTGCTAATACTTCGCAACTTATGTTACCTGAAATTGGTAATCTTTGGATGGCTGCATAGATGAAATTGTAAGCTTTGTTTTAGTCCCTGCAGAGATGGTGCTTAAGTAACTACTTGCAGAGACGATTTTGTATCTAACTTTATATTCATACAGGATTCCTCGAAGCGAGACTGGTTGAGACCAGGAGACTTGAACTGTCGTTGATGAAAGTGCAACTGCAGAAACATTCCATGGAGCATCAGGTACTAAAACAAAGGAGTTGATTAGAATTTTTAAAGGATGCACACTTGCATGAGGATCGGGCACATTACTGTGACAATGATGATTTCCGAATGGTGAATTTCTTCTGAAAATCCTTTTAAGTGAAAAACTGACTGGTCTTTTTTTCGATAATGTCAAAAAATACAGAAAAACTTGCATAAGTCACATTCACATAATGCAGACGTTTCGCAACTCAGATAAAAAGCATTGTCCCAGTCAGATTTGATTAAATGCAATAAATTTGAATTGCATATATGGTTTCGTTACTCGAATATCTGCGTAAGTCGGACTTCTCTAAAATTCCTCTGAAAACATAGATTCACACAGAACCTCGTAGAAATATATACAAAATCAACATAGCAGTGACTTTCGTGAAAAACAAACCTCTGAAATTTTTTGACTGTAAATGCAGTAATCATATTTCTAGCGTTGCTCATATTAAAAAATATTTACTCTTTCTTTGCATAAGATGATAGCAAGATGTCTTACTCTGTTTTTCAAACAATTTTAATTGTCAAACTTTGGTTTTTGCTTTGTTTTGTTTCACTTCTGATTTATTAGATGTACACTCATTTTTTTATAAGTAACAAAGGTCGATGTTGAGTACTTCAGTTTCCTAATGTTCTTAAGATTTGAACATTCATTTTTTCTTAAGAGTTTCTTATTTATGATGTCACGAATGATGTTATGAAATGTTCATGTCCTTTTTTCACGTCAAGAGATTCGCTTCCGTTCTGATGCTGTATTTAGATTTGGGAAGTATTTTTTTTATCCCTCGTGTTTTCAGTTCTAGGCCAATAGGGCAATAATGTTCTTGTATTTTACGAAGTTTCCTTGTTTTAAGTTTTATCACGATTTAATAGTTTCTAATTTTTTTGCTTCGGCTACTGAAGTTTCTTAGTTTTTCTGATTGTCCAGTACTCGTTTCCTATAGCCAGTATCTTATAAAAAATGAGTCTCCATGGTTTTTTGTGGATGATAAATATAAACTTCCAACTCATCTGGGAAGGCTTCAGACTCTAGCAACCGTAGCGCGAGCTATAGTCAGATTCTCTGTGATTGACCAACGAGATCCAATTTATGCAAGTTTGACTCCTAACTCACGACAGGTGATTGTGAGATACAAAGAATAATATACATTGACTGCCAAAAAAGCTTCTATTTTATGAAACGGGGGTTTTAAATGATTCGCTGTTTATCTACGTCTTCTTGCGGCTAAACCTCCACATGCAACAATGCTAGGACATTGAGAAAATCGTAAATACAACAAATTTGAAACAGGCTTTAGCTTAAGTAGCAAATGATGATAGAAAAGTCTCGCTACCTCCTTCGTTTGTTTTAAAGTCAAAAGTTCCCGTATCTGAATTTATATTGTGAGTTGATGATTTTGCAGAAACCTCGATTGTGAAGTCGGTGTATGCACTTAGGCCCGTAAACAATGCTGTTGTGGTCTTCAAGTTATTCTGTGTTTCGTGTGTTGAGCCATCAGACTTTTTCTTAAGAACTAAATTGTAGCTTTCAGTAGGAAAATCCGAGACTGAAGCATTCCATGTTACTGATGCAGTTGTATTGGTAAGTGAGCTTGTTACGATGCCGCTTGGTGTCGAGGGTTTAGCTGCAAAATCAAAAAAGGTTTAATGTAATGAAATAAAACTACGAGGGTCACTCCAAAATTATTGAGATTTTCAAAAACAGCAAGAGGCATCGTGTTCAAATTTTCACAGTTTCTCAAAATACTCTCCACTGGCTTCCACACAAAGTCTCATACGATAAAACCACATATCAAAACAATGGGCCCATTTTTCTGCAGCCAGGTCGGAAACAGCCTCGTTGAAGGCACTAACTGCATCATCAGCGCTATCAAACTTGGTTCCGCGATTTTTTTCTTTCGCCGCTGGAAAGAAGTCACAAGGTGCCAAATCAGGTGAATAAGGCGGGTGGGTCATCAACTGAACTGAATTTTCGGACAGAAAGTCGATGGTCAAAGCAGCTGCGTGAGCGGAAGCGTTGTCATGGTGCCAAAGTAGACCTCTTAAGCCGGTCCTTGGACGTTTATTTCGCCAAATTTCTAGAACCTGTGGTATGCAGTGGTTAACATACCAATCCGCGTTCACTGGACGACGGTCTTCAACTTGAATGATTGCGACATGACCCGTCTTTGAGAAAAATGACGCAACCATTCTTTTGCCGACGCTTCTGGATCGCCGAAATTTTTGCGGCGGGTTTTCACCTGGAAAGATCCAAATTGAGGATTGGCGCTTTGTCTCCGGGTCAAATTGGTAAACCCAACTTTCATCGCCTGTCACAATGTCATAAACCCGTTTCGACTCCCCTTCATTAAATTTTTGCAGCATAAACTGGCACCAATTGACGCGCTGCTCCTTTTGCTCATCTGACAAGCAATGTGGCACCCAGCGGGCAGCCACTTTCCGAACTTGCAGGTTTTCATGCAAAATTGTGTGCAATGCTGCTGATCCAATCTTTACGCTATCCTGCATCATAGAATAAGTCATCCGACCATCTTGCCTTAGCATCTTCTCCACAGCGGCAACTGTTTCTGGCACAACAGCAGTTGGGGGCCTCCCTGGGTGGGTCTCATCTTTAAGGCTCTTCCCCACTCTCTTAAATTCGGCAAACCATCGAAAAACTGTTGCCCTTGAAGGTGCATTATCTCCAAATGTCTGCAGAAGTTGAGCTAGGCACTCTTCTTGTTTCAGCCCCCTTTTAAAATCATAATAAATCATTGCGCGAAAATCACGTCTTTCAAGCTCCATTTTTAACAAATAAGAACATCTAAGGTGCTGAAATTCAAAACCCTTTTTTATTTTTTTCCCGCGCTTGAAATTAACAAAAATTACAAAACATGGGTGAAATAGATGGTACAAGCAACCAAAAAAATTTCAAACTGATATCTCAAGCGGTTACTGAATATCTCAATAATTTTGGAGTGACCCTCGTACCAATAAGAAAATAACCTATCAATGCTACCTATGTAAATCACTGGGCACTAGTTAAGGTAAGGTTCATAAAATGTGTATACTTGAACTCTTTCTGGTCATTGTTCCATGTTGCCATTTTAGCTTTGTCACCTGCCCACGTACCTAAATATTAGACATTTGAAAAATGGCAACTTCAAAGAGGAATTTGAACGACTGTTCTGATATTTAGGCCCTACCTACCCAAGAGTCCGGCTACAGTAACTTCCACTGTGCCACTCTTCGAAGTGCTCGATATCCCAGGATACATTCCTGAACATCCAAATGTGTGTTTACATTGAACAAACCCCTGCGCAAAATCGGTGACAGTGCAAGTTGCAAATGAGTTAATAACATTGTTTGGTGTGGCAGTGATCTTCAAAGTTTTGGTCGTTTCTCCATTTATATTTTCATTTGTTACGGCATTGTTTCCAACTTGATAAATGCCAGTGGATGTCAAAGTGTTGCTTCCGTTTTTCCAAGCTGCTTCAACGCCAGGCTGCGCTGCTACCGTACATGTCAATGTTACTTCGCCATTTCTTGCAATGGACGGGCTTGACGGTATAATGGAGATCGAAGACACTTGGCCAACTAAAACAGAATAACGTTGCTTGAAGCATGCAACATTTACATAAATTAAATCTGATATTATTTGATGAACAAAGTTAAAATGTCACTGCACGCTCATATCTGGGTGGCATACCCAGCTATTCACAATCTTTATGGAAAAAAGTGTTTCCAATGTCTTCAAGAACGTGGTTCTAAAAAGCTTTCCTGGGCGAGTCCATAATAGGCCTGCATCAAAATTATACAATCAAGAAAGTTCTTCTGACATGATAATTTTTTAATAGATTTAAGCAGCATTTCTGAGCACCCCTAAACCCCGCAAGATAATCCAAATATATACCCGATACAAAACTGCATCAATTACATATTTCTTAAAAACATTATTTCTTAAAAATAGCATCAACAAGGGTACATGAAGCCTATTGATCGTGCTCTTTTAATAGTTCGTGTTGTTATTAGGCATAAGAAGGTTCCGCTGTAGCCTAACAGTCTGAATAAGAGTTAAATGTGTGAAATCTTTAATCAAGATTGTTTTTGCAATTTTTATGATTCAGAAGGGTTGTCATGTTACAGAGTTGATGAATAAGGAAAATAAGATCTTTTGATAAGGAGGAAACCTGGTTAATTTTCCGAGTCATCTGCTTGAACAGCTTTCAATTTCTTCTAACTAGGTCAATTGAGATACATTTCCAAGAAGTATCGAATTCTCCCACCCTCAGGTTCCACACCTTTTAAAATGCTACTATTAAAATCTTGACATAGCTCTTTATATGTAGCAAAAACTCATAAAGTGCAAATCTTTTGAACTCGTTATTCGTAACAGTTTTAAATGTAGGCTAAGATATTTTCTTCAGTTTACATACCTGAGGCACAGCCAAGCATTTCCCAACGCAGTCCAACATTCTGATTAGTGGGAGATTGAGTTTCGACTTGCAAGCGAATACAACGGGCTATTATTGTATGTGGTAGATCTATCTGTGATGACGAGTAACGACCATCGGCACCTGCGAATTTCTAAAAATAAATAGCAAAATCACAGTTAGTGAGTAAATTATCTTATTTCATTCCATCGATACTGAAAGGAAGTTCAATCATAAAGTCACAACATTAAAATAACAAAAAATTTAACGTTATTGCTTGGCTTATCTATTAGAGAGAATAAGATGAATTTCTATATAAGACATGTTGAGAAAATGTTAGGATTTAGTAATTCAATGTAAAAAAGAAATAAAAATGAAGTTTACGAATTAAACATTTGTGCATTGAAAAACAATTAAACTCGCCTGTAACAAATTGCTGTGCTTGTATTCGAAAAATGTACCAGAAGTGACGGTAGAATATCTTAATGAAAATTCTGTCACTTTTGCCAAGTTATCAACATTGCCCTGACCCTGAATCACAATCGAACTGATTGACTGTACACTTGGTAAACATGCTTGAAT